CCCTGTTCTAGATGCAGTGACTGTTCCGTCCGGACGTCGGAGGGCGGTCATGTTGATGTTGCAGCTGACGAAGTCGCGGCGAGTGTTGCGGATGCTCTTCCCCGCCTCTGCGGCTTCCACCGGTATAGCTGCTCTTCTCTTCTCGAGGTCTTCCTTTATTGCTTCTCTACATAGCTTCGCAAGCTCAGACGTCAGCTGTTAATTGCCGGCTCGTGCGGTTACACGTTGGCGAATCAGCTCGAGAGTTTCCAGAGAGACACTTCTTAGTAATCTCGGAACTCTCTGACTTCTTGGTGGAGTCGTGAAGATGTGCGAAAAGCCATTCGTATTCCTCGTCGATGTTGTCTATAACGGAATCCTCCCAGAGCCAAGCGAGAGAAGTGAAGTGATACCAGTTGGTGAAGGTCTTGGGGCTTCGCTTCTTGAACTTTGCTGCTCTTTCTCCTCGCATCGGAGAGCGGAATCTTGCGCGAAGGAGACGGTGGTCGGATCCCGTGTAGAACTTAACTTAACAGCGACATCGGTCAGGCAAAACCTTCGACTGAAGATGATGTGGTCGATCTCGTTATGGAACTGTCCACCAGGAGACTCCCATGCCCAGCGTAGAGAGTAGGGCTTCTGGAATTGGATTCAGTTATCCTACTATATATAATCCGCTAAGTATGCCTGTAAGTGTGTGTGTGTGTGTGTATGTGTTCTCTGTGTTGGTGTGTGCGTCTGTCGTCGTCACCAAATTCATAGCGAGCGTCGCGGAAAGATAGGACGACAGTTCAAGAAAGTGATATACATGGCAGGACGCGAACACTTGGTGGGTGATAGAATGTGATAACACCAAGATTCGATAAGGGGCCTTAGAAAGGGAGGGTGACCGAGCCCTAGTGCGGGACACAGCAACAGTGGGACATTGGTTCCAAGGTATGATATAGGACCGGACGCGGAACATTATTGATGGTGACAGGGAATGATAGCAGCTGATAAGATCCGTCAAGAGGCGTCAAAAGGGAGGGTGATCAAGTCCATAGTGCGGACATAGTAACAGTGGGACACTTGTTACAAAAGTACGATATAGGACGTAAGACAGGAACATTATTGATGGGTGACAGGGAGTGATAGCAGCTGATGGATTTGGTAAGGGAGGTTAGAATGGTAAGGTCACCATACATATAATGCGGAACACGGCATCAGCTAGGCAGTATTTCAGAAATGATATAGAGTTGGAGATGGGGACACGCCACGTGAGGTATAACAGCTAATAGAGGCTAATAAGGAACGTTACAATGCTGTTCATCAAATTGCTGGAGCCTTTGCAACTACCAAATCATAGAGATTTTAGTAATAGGGATATGATGAGGGTGACAGGATCTTACAAATTGATAAGAGGGATAAGGGGCTTTATCGTTACCTCTCTTATCACGATACCCCAAAGTATCAAAGGCTCAGTGTGCATACTTTTCCTTAGCCATCACTTCCTGATAGCCTTAAAAATGAACTCATCCACTATCTCTAACTATCCTACTATATATAATCCGCTAAGTATGTCCTGTAAGTGTGTGTTTGTGTGTCGTCGGTCGGTCTGTCACGAAATTCACAGCGAGCGTCGGCAAAAGATAGGACCCAGCGTGATATACATGGCAGGACGGGAACACTTTTGTGGTGATGGAATGTGATAAGCACCTAATATGATTCGATAAAGGGCTTTAGAAAAGAGTTCATTTTCTAAGGGTTATCGGAAGTGATGGCTAAAGGAAAAGTATGCACACTGAACCTTTGATACTTTCGGCTACAGTGATGAGAAAGGTAATGATAAGGCCCCTTATCCTTTCTTATCAATTTGATAAGGTCCTGTACTCGTCATCAATATCCCTATCACTAAAACTTTTAAATTTGGTAGTGCAAAGGCTCCAGCACTTCGACTGAACAGCATTGGCAACGTTTTATCCCCTATAGATGTTATCTACCTTTCGTGCCTGTCCCATCTCCAACTCTATAATTTTCTGAAATTAATGCCTAGCTGATGCTGTGTTCCGCTTTATGAGAATGGTGACCGAGCCCATAGTGCGGGACACAGTAAAGTGGACATTGATTCCAAGGTATGATAGGGAGCGTAAGACATGAACATTATTGATGGGGTGACAGGGAATGATAGCAGCTGACAGGATTTGATAAGGAGTTAGAATGGTAAGGTCACCATTTCTCATAACGCGAAACAACATCAGCTAGGCATTATTTCAGAAATGATATAGGAGTTGGAGATGGGGACACGGCACGAAAGGTGATAACAGCTGATAGGGCTGATAAGGAACGTTGCCAATGCTGTTCAAGTCGAAGGGCTGGAGCCTTTGCACTACAAATTATAAAGTTTTAGTGATAGGGATATTGATGACGAGTAACAGGACCTTATCAATTGATAAGAAAGGATAGGGCATTATCATAACACCTCTCTCATCACTATACCCGAAAGTATCAAGGTTCAGTTGCATACTTTTCCTTTAGCCATCACTTCCCGATAACCAATTAGAAAATGAACTCACGCTCACTATATAATTATGGATGGGAGGGGGGGCGGGGGGGAGGGGGGGGGGGTATGTTAGTCGCCCTGAAACAGGAATCTCAGCGAAATTTGAGGAGAACCGTAAACCGAAAACACTTCAACAAGCGGATCGCATGCTAATTTAATTTAATTTCAATTCAAAAGGAAAGCGTTCGTCGGTAGGCATTCCGGTGCAGGTAATGAAACGGAATCTGCTATTTCCATCAAGCGATTGATATTGCGCTGTATTGGCCGTATACACATTGTATTATCTACAGATTTATGTCTCTATGGGCGTCATGGGCGACTACACCGCTGCTGTAAATAGGAGCGCGTGCTGAGTGGCGGGATCTCAAGCGCTTGCTCTGTCTGTTTATGATTCGATACTAACACAGCGCCTCAATATAGCGCGCACTAACCGCAAAATCGCTTAAATTATGGAGCCGCCTGGCGAAGCCAGGCAGCTCTGGCGAAGCGAGCTAAAGAAGGGAGAGCACGGCGTCAGCCGTGGCGATCCGACTGGTACAATAACATAATTGCTAATTGATCGATTATTTTGTAGCGAAATCGCCTCCTGTATATACAGCAGATCTTCCTACCTGTGTAACGAACTGCATCTCCACGAGAGGAGGAGTGTACGAGGTTTCGAGAGTGGCGACGGCGAGCACTTAGCTGAAACCAGAGTTCGCAGCATGCACATAACAATACGCAGTCCCCCAGCTTAACAAAATCAAGGCCACACTCCGCGTTTATTTGATGTTAAGGCTCATCTCTTGATGAAAGTAATCAGGTTAGCTGGCGCATGAACGGGGCGTGCTGCGCGTGCTACGTTGACCTAACGCAAAAAGGCAAAAAACGGGTTGGCATGGAGCCAAGCACAGCCATTCGGACTCGCTATCATCTGCACTAAATCAGGCTAATTGTCCGGCCTTAACAGACGTGCCACTTTGCAGCTTGAAAATTACTAAGAAGACGCGAACTCGCGTGACACAGTCTCCGCCTTCAGCGCCTCACTTTTATTTGTGAAGGCTTCCTTTTGTGCGTTTATTCCGCCAATTCACTCTAATTCTTGTGAATAAGTGTGAGGTGACAAAGAGGAAGCTGACAACAAGCGAGAGAACTCGTCCAACATGCCCTTTGCTCGCTTTATGCACATAAAGGTCGTTCGCCACATGGTTCTTAATGACGTGCTTTTGTATTGTATTTTCCTCTGGCTTTCCTTCGCTTTTCTATTACTTGCACATTTTGTATTTGTTATTTTGTGCTGCACAACCCCCGCCTTTCTGAGCGCAGAAAGCGTGGCCAAATCTCTGGACATCCGTTCCGCCCTAACATGCATACACTATTGTAGACCTTCATTGTGTACAACGTGCCTTCAACGGCAAACACATGTTGCTATTCGGACTGACATTAATCAAGTGAACCAAAGGAATAGATGACTGACTAGGACTGTCCGGTGACAGACTGTCTTGCCTGCTCCTGTCTTTTCATAAAATACACATAGTCAATAGTCAAGAAACACATAGAAATTTTATTTGTTCATAACAAAAGTGAATTTCATCAAAACACCAAATAAGTTATTTGAGTAATCGATTTTTCCCTACTCATACTCCCTAATTAATTCTGTATCTACTAAAAGTTCGTACATAACAGATAAATATCTAAAGGGAATCCAAAGGATAATTCATCAAAAGAGAAATCTGTAGGCTGATGTATTCAATATGGCGTCTCGGGTCATAACAACATATTCACATGGCAATATATGGGCATTGACGTGAGCTAAGTGAAATGAAACATTTGGTCAAAATAAGTGAAAATTAGGAATGTAAGAAAAGGCAAAATCTACTTGTCCCAATACGTCTGGTGGTTCTATTTATTGGGAACGACAGCATAAGGCGCTGCAGTGTTGTGTTGCATATATGGAAGCAAATAATAAGAGACAGGAGCCGTATTAACGGTGAGATTTAGACAAAGAAAGTGGGTTGTCGCACGATGCATCGGAATACTGCAAAACTGAAGGCGTTTATTGTTTTGGAGGAACCCTTCACTGTGAGACCGCGTTCAGACTTCACGATGCACTAATTCCCACCGCGCGATGATGACCGGGGTGTTCCTTCGCCGAACGTTACACAGGCGCAACGGCAGAATTCAAACATGCACCGTCTGAACGAGGCAATTCGAATTCTGCCGTAGCAGCGATGCATGTTTGGCGGAGGAGCACCCCCGGCCATGATCGCACGATCGGAACCATTGCATCGCGAAGTCTGAACGCGATCTCACAGTGAAGGGTGTCTCCAAAAGAACCCCACAGATCTGTCAAAGAAGCTAAATGAACCTTTCAAGTGAACTGGCAAGAGTGACAGAGACAAGGTGCACAAGTTTAGAGAAAGTATGGAAATAAATCCTCAGGAAAAGTATTAGAAAAATTCTTTTTTTCAGATACAAAACGATTCAAACAGAATGCAACTGGTTACACTGAAATTGAACCCTCCCTGAAGTCCGATTTACCAATGAGCACGTTCAGAAGAGCACTTCGGCCCTGACTACTTTCACGCAGTGCTTCGTCCAGAACTTCTTCTGTAGATGACACATTGTCGGCACTAATCGTTACGCCCCATCCGCCCAAAGCCGTAGCCACATCATCGTAACGGGTCCGCTTAACAAACTCGCTTTCATGATAAAAACTTTGGATCAGGGCTCGAATCAATAAGGCAGCGTTCAGACTTGTAGCGCTACAGCGTCGCGCTACAGCTGTAGCGCTACAGTCGTACCGAACTCCAGCTTTTATGTTTTTTCTTTCTGTATAAACCTCTTCTCTTTGTTTCTCATATTTATCTGATAGTGAGTTCCTCTTTTCTACTTTATCACGTTTTAATGTAGTTTTTGATACAGAAGACTGTGATAATTGGTTTTATTTATCGTTTTTGACTTTAATTATTTGGTTTCACAATTGCTTGATGTTTGACGGCTTTGCTTGATGTCTTGCAGTGCTGCCTCGTGTTGACCCCTATTGCGAAACTACATTGAAATGTGATAAAGTAGAAAACAGGACTCACTATCAGATAAATATGAGAAACAAAGAGAAGAGGATTGAATACAGAAAGAATGAATACAAATCCAAAGCCGCTTAGCGATTATGGAGCGAAATCTGCTTTTCGAGTTTGCCCCCAATCTCTGCCTGGATCACAGGAAAAAGATTCATGCCTGTTTTCGAGGCATTCACAGCCAACAAAGGCTTGACAGTTTTTTGCACTTTTTTTGGCCCAGGAGCGTACCAGTATTGAGTCGCATTTGTCGGCAGCAGAAAAAAATGGCCTTATCTCCCACAACAGGCACGCGAAGACTGTCTGGTCACTAATGCGTTAACACAAGGCAAAAAGAAGTTCCTTTATGGTTCTTGTATCTCTGGTAAAAAAACATGCGCGCGTGTTTTTAGGTGGCGCGAGTACTCTTTGGGTGTTTTTTTTGCAGAAAATGCTCTTAATAAGACAGAAGGACACTGTTACGCTAAAAGCAGTACCAGAAAAATAGTGACTAATGGAGTAACTGTCAAGGATGGCGTCAGATAGTCACAGCTGTATCGGTCTCACCTTTCCGTGAATTTCTCAAGAAAACTCCTGCAACCTTCCCACTTTTCTCTGTAAGCAACTCTAACCATCCTAACTGGAAATAGCCGTACGTAGCGAAGCGGCGCTGTAGCGCGACGCTGTAGCGCGGTGCTGTAGCACTACAAGTCTGAACGCTGCCTAACTTGTTGAAAATGACCGTTACAAATGCAGGGCGAATTCTTACCGCTAAATCGACTGCAACACTGCTATCGAACATAGGGATTTGCTCTCGAGCGATCTGAGACCAGCAGGCATCATTTCCAATCACGCCAATGACTGGTAGCTTGTGACGAGTGAAAGTGTCATATTCCATAATGGAGTATCCGGAAGATCCATCTCCCCAAAGAATATAAACTGGACGGTTTGGGTGGACCACCTGGAAGCAAAAAGAATTGGGACTGTAAAACAATGAGCAATCTCTCGTTAGCTGAAATGATGACTAACTTTAGCTCCGAGCGCGAATCCGCCACCTACTCCGAGTGTACCAAACGCACCAGGATCAAGCCATTGTAACGGACCGCGCGGTCGAACGATGTATGCCGCCGATCCAACGAAGTCACCTCCATCTGCCACCAGAATAGCATCATCAGGAAGTTTCTGAAATCATTTCAGGAAACCTTTGTAGGAGAGAGAAATAACATCCACTATGTTCATCACATCACTGCTCTGCGTAAAATAAATAGAAGCCGGAAGAAAGAGGAAACATACCCTGTCTAGTCTGGCGAGGAAGTTTAATGGATTAACAAATCCGTGCGACAATTCTTCATTTGCTTTTGCGGCATTTTTAGCTTCCTTGTCATCTTCTCTACTTTTCAACTCATCTATCCAATCAGACGGTACTTTATAGCCAGTCTGCTAAGAAGTTCGTTTAATAAGTTCTCAACAGTGACATACTGAAGCTGCATGCAATTGACACTGTACCAGTAACAGACCTTTTCAACTTGAGCGGCAATCTGAACAAGAGCAGAAGCAACGTCAGCTTGAATAGAGACATCAGCGTTCCAGAATGCCTTTTCATTCTGAAACATGTCTCAGTTAATGTTTGTCCCTTTGAGTATTCTCAATCGCCGCTGATATCTCTCTACTTATGAAAAAGAAGTTGTACAGTCCTCTTCATTGCAGACCGGTGGGGAGTGGCAGTGCGGCTGCATTTGGTGCGGTTTGGCAAAGTCGTTCTGCACCAGTTTTTGAACCGAACAAGTGCATCGCTGTATAATATCCTTCGTATTGCTCGTCTTCTACCCTTTTTGTCGCATACGCGTTGCAACAAAAAGGCTGAGAACGGCTTCAACAATGTGCGCACTCCTTCTGGGCTCATCATTGCGGACACCCCCCACCGGTCCGCAATGATGAGGACTGGGATGTCTGGGGCGACCGCTCGATAATTATGGACTACGTAAAAGATCGCTTCAAGGGAAAGAATCATGACTGGGATATGTGGCATGGCCAACATTTACAGAGTACGCGCAAGATAGTCTACGTTCCGCGCGCGGTGGGGCGTACAACGAAACGCAACGGCTTTCATTTGAAAACGTGAGGTGGTAGAGACTTCACACGGACAAGCAGGATCGAGCAGATTCGCTGACTATTTTGACTGGCTACGGACAACAATCAGATGCCATTACAAAGTGAACAGCTTTCTTCAAAATGCTCGACAGGGCGGTCAAAAAACATGTACTGTCCGAGTTTTTATCAGCATAACCTCCCTAGTATTACACACCAGATTCACGCCAAAATTCTGAAAACTTATAACGAGAGCCTCTGAATGTGCGGTTTTTCTTCCGATGTAGTTATGCGCGAAACAATCTCCCAATGAGACACACTCCAACATTCATTTGGATCCCAGTAAACTCAAAATTTCAAGTAGAAACCATTAGTTTCGCGTTGCCTTGTAGTCTGTAATGCGGCCTGAGGTCAAGCGGCGGCAAGATAATCTCGAATAAAAAAGAACCTTTGTCAGCTGGCTGCGATTCCTATTAATGCACACAATTTTCGACTTTTTCGACAGCACACGCCCATACGATAGACGGAAGTCACACACTGTTCCTGAAAATGAAGTTGACTACTAGACAGAAAGCATTGGAATTAGTACAAACGGCAGCAGGCAGCATAGAACTGGCATGACCAGGAGGGCAAAAGTTTTTAGTTTCGAAGACATGCAACAAGGAGCTGACCAGCTAGGACAGTAAGATCGGCATCGCGTAGTGCTTCTCTTCGGTTCTGACGCATCTGAAGTCGATTTTCCTTTCCTAACAAACCACGCGCCATTCCACCGAGATACACAGGTACGCCCAGTATCTATAAAAGAGATAAAAGATTTTTAAGAAACAATTAGGCTCTGGAATGAATTCTAGCACACTATCCGGAATACTACCTCGACCGCCTTCACCAAGTCCTTAGGAGTTACCGGTGGAAGCATAGCTTGACTGCCTATCAACATTACCGGTTTTTTCGCTGCCCTTATTAGCTGCACAATCTTGTTCACCTGAAAATACCGAAGAAAACTTAATGTTCTCTGCATGCACTTAATCCCAAAAGCCAGCATTATCTTCATCAACATTATCACAGAGTTCACCTCTTCGAATGAAGCCATAGGAATTTGTGTCGGTAGGGGAGTAATGTCTTGTGGCTGCCAAGCAGCGCTGAACTGGCGAGACACGTGACATCTCAGGTAAAAATTCAAGGCTTTCTGCAAACAACTTATCATCCACACTATAAGCACAATGTTATTATGCTTACAAACAATAATATTGGCATATGAAACCTGTATAAAGCCACTAGGCTTAGGATTGAAACCAATTTCCTTGACGACAAGTTGGTATGGATAGAGAACGTCTACCGGGAACTCAACAAAAACAGGCCCTGGGCATCCGGAAGTGGCAGCCTAAAAGTTTGCGTTAAGCGTGTGTAAATTAGTATGTTCCAGCCAATCAACAGCAAGGAACCTTTATAGCTTGTCGAAGTGTTGGTACAATATCACGTAGGCGTTCAACGCGAGCAGCAAATTTACAAAGAGGACGGAAAAGAACGAGTTGGTCAATGTCCTGAAAAAACCGTCCGCACTCATTATAACAAATCGAACCTAATTCCTTACCTGCAACGCTCCACGACCTTTGAGTAAAGTAGGAGCTGCACCACCAAGGAGCAATAAAGGGCTTTCCGCCATTTGGGCGTTCTTCACGGCAGTGATAGTGTTAGTTAGACCAGGACCAGCTGTAACTGCAGCGACTCCAATGGACTGACGTAGACGAGCTACGGCATCAGCAGCGAATACAGTGGTAACCTTAACAATGAAGCGCTATATGATATGTCATCATTAGAGGTGATGGAAATTATTGATGAACAGCTTCAACATGCAAGGAAATTAGCTCACTTCCCCACCCCTGCCCACCACTGACCTGACCCATTGCATATTGCGGGCTTGTTCACATCGGTGTGGCCGCTTAATGCTGTGTTCATACTTTATGTCAATGTTCAGAGCGTACGGCAACTTTTGAGCGTTTCGAGCATATGCGGCATCTTATGCGTTTCGCGGTGTGTCGAAATTTTGGCGTGCAATCGCTGAAACGCTGACGTACGTTCAAAGCGCTAAATCGACGTCATACTTTTGTAATCGCTCAAAAGTTGGCGTATGTTCGAAACGCTTTCGCAAGGTGTGAACGCAGCCTAATACACACTATACATTAATCCGCGAAACAAAGTCGCAGAACGCAACGAACGCAAGGAACCATCATCAGATCCTGGAAATTATCGGCCTGTGAGCATTACCGCTTTAGTCTGTAGACTGTTTTAAAAGCGTCTAAAGGAGCATGACATTAAATATACTCTCGGGTGTAACTTAGTACCGAACAAGCAGCATGGCTTCACTCCGGAACGTTCCGTTGAAACCAACATGATTGAATGCCTCGATGAGTGGACTAAGACTCTTGATAATAATGGGTGTTGTGATGCCATCTATTTCGATTTCGCCAAGGCTTTTGACAGGGTACAGCATGCAAAGCTAATCCATAAGTTGAAAGTATTGAAATTTCATCCCATTGGCAGCGCCCGCGTTCAAATTTGATGAGTATGCAGCTCAGGTAGTAATAGCGAGGTAGCAAGAAACCAATTAGTGAAGAAAAATCAAAAAGAAAACATGCAAAATGCCCTATAAGGGCTTCATACCGATGGCGGTTGTACGTGCTCAAGGCGAAGAGCAGGTTGCACGAGTTCTCACTTGTTGATATCAGCTGTTTTCCCTTATCACCGTTACACGCGTTACAAGCGAGGTAAGGCGCGTCAGGACCCAACTAACTTAATGATGCAGTGCTGCAGCGCGTTAAGTCGTATATTCAGCGTAGACCAAAACGCCATCAAGACATATCATGTACATATCCTGAGATATGATGTGAAACCCTCCCTTTACCAAAATCTACGAGTGATGATAGAAACTATAGTTCAAAATATGGGTCTAATTTTTAAATCTAACGCAGAATTCATAATTACAGGTTCCGCAGTAGCTAAGTTATGCGCCCATAGGAAACGTTTTTACCTGAAAACTAAGTAATTCATTTGAACTCGGCTTCTTTGCACGACATAAGATCTTTATACCTTTCCATATGTACCTCATGGCGTGTATCGATGATTTTGATACCGAGCTCTCAGCTGCAACAAGAATGGGCGATATATGTCCACCACACAGGACGAATATTTCTTGTACATCGTGAGACTGAAAGAAAAAGATCATAAGTGCCTCAAGTAGCTACATTTATTACAACTATGTATAGCAGCCTCGGAAAACGCTAAAAAATACACGGCCATACCAGTTACGTAAATGAGCGGATGTAGTTACCTTGAAGGAGGTGGCAGTTCAGGCTCAAAGAACAAAAAAAAACAGAGACATAGAAGCGTTTACCAAACTTAGAGAGAGAGAAGCGAAATCGTGCTCTACACTCGAAAAGTCTTCAATTTCGGCGCTCTGGAGATTCCTTCATAGCAACGCGTAAAGAAGATTCTAACCTCTAGAAGGCAAAAAAAGTGCAAAGCAAACACATTTTCATACCGTCTTATCTTTTGATGAAGAGCGCTGCTATCCAAACCCTTAGAGAACCCTCTTTCAAGCGAAATTATATTTACTGATGATGAATTTTCGCCATGTCACCGTGGAAAGGTTCTGTGCGCAGTGTGACATCATTAAATAGTATGCTTCAGCACTGTTTCAGCAGTTTGCCCACATTCGCGACCTGAGTGATTCAATCCCACATTCATAATGTTCACAACGTCTGACGCTATGACAGACTGAGTCGCTGAAGCCGCAAAGTATAAACACAGCCTTGCGCCCTATTAGCTCCGACAAGACATGAGAAACGAAGTGGAAAAGATATTGACGAGCTTACAATTGAGAGATACGCTTAATTATATCAGAGAGATACGCTTAGCAATAAAAAGTGGAGCTCTGGACACAAGAACCGAAACGCACGAGAACATTGCTTCCAAGGCTATATACGCAGACAACATAATAAAAAAGACGAACCTTTAGAACTGAAGCGACAAGTTCGCCACCATGTCTTTTCGAATTCTCATCCACCTTAAATAGAAATGTCCTAGAGAATACCGAAAAAAAACACAGAGCTCAAACACAAATTTACAAGCTGCTGAAAGCTGAAAGAGGAAACACTGTACCTGAAAAACGTTTGATAAGGTGTGCTGATGGTTACCGGCAGACAAAAGACGAGTGATATTCTTGATTTCATTTACCGACCGAATATCAAGCCATTTCCATAGAAGTAAGAAAAAGGCTACCACAAGTAAGAGTAAAATGAACATTCCTGCAAATTTTCCAAATTGCATTCTCAACATCGCAGTTTTTCTCTATGTGTAACACAGACTTCAAAATACTTCAAAATAAACTTCAAAATAAGACGCTCAACAGGATATTGGGCATCACCTAGCCATCTGAGAGAGTCAATGGAACAACCTATCCAAATTTTAAGCAAATAACCATTCATATTAGAGGCAGACCTTGGTTGGCACCACTTTAGTGATCGCGGTGCGCGGCGATCATATGGCGATCATATATGGCACATTATCTCACTATAAACTCAAAAGACGATGTAAGGCAGCGTTCATACTAACGACGAAGTGGCCGTCGTTGACGACGGCAACGTCGCATATTAGGCAGCGTTCAGGCTTGTCGCGATGCAACTGTCGCGCTGCAACTGTCGCGATGCAGTTGTACCAGACCCCAGCTTCCCTTTATGTTCTTTCTTCCGGTATTGAATCCCTTCTCACTGTTTCTCGTTTCTTCCTGCTTCTTAGCTCCTCTTTTTTAACTTTAAGAAAGAACATGAAGGGAAGCTGGGGTCTGGTACAACTGCATCGCGACAGTTGCAGCGCGACAGTTGCATCGCGACAAGTCTGAGCGCTGCCTTATGTCGCTTATCAGATCGGTACGTATCCACTCTCTGGAAGGTTGCCGCCGGTCACGTCGACGACGGCAACGTCAACGGTTTTGTCGGATCAACACGTGTTTCAACTTCGGCGAGTAGTCGCCGAAAACGTCGCTTAGGCCGCGTTCATAGCTTGCGACCATGAAGAAATGTAAAAGTGCAGAAATGAAGAAATGCGGAACCTGCATAATCCGCAGAAGTGACGAAAAGCAATAAATACATATCGATTTGAAGAAATGCAGAAATGCGGAATGCAGAAATGACGAAAAGCAACCGATGCGTATCGATTTTCTGCAATTCGGCGTTTCTGCATTTCTGCATTTCTTCGAATCGATAAGTATTTGCTGCTTTTCGGCTAATGCCGTTTGGACTCCAAGAATTTCGGCACCCAGCCCATTTGTAAATTGCCTAAGTCACCAAATCCGCCAAAAACTTGTATACAGGGGTAGTTTAACATCCTGATTAAGAATATGACATTCACTTTTGCGCTTGGCGTTTAAGGAGGAGCACAAGGATCACCTCCTAGGCGCTCGAGCCTATTAGCAGAGCCGCACGATAACGTGAAGTGCCATCCATTAGCTTCACGACAAGACGGCGAACTGACATACTCTTAACTCAGGATGCTTGAATACCCCTATATACAAAATCTTTTCGGGCAGACTTTGGTGAACTTAGCACTTTAAAATTGGAGCTCGGGGCGACCAATTTTGGAGTCCAAACGGGCTTAGCCCTGCTTTTGTCGCATTACTTGAAGTTTTCGGCATTTCGCGCACTTTTCCGCCACTTCTGCAGCTTCCGCATTTCTGAATCTTCAATGCGATGCGCGGGCTTAATGCGTTTGACTCCAGAATTTTCGGCACGAGCTCATTTTTTAATTTGCCTAAAGCCACCAAATCCGCCTAAAAAACTTTGTACACAGGGGGTAGTTTAACATTCTTGATATAAAGATATGACTTTCCTGCTTGTCGCTGAGTGCCAGAGGGAACTACGATTATCTGAGCCTCTGCGCTAAGCGCCGAGCCAGGACGGTAAATGTAGTGTCCTCTCTTGGTGACAGCGACGACGAGAATGTCGATACTTCGTGAACAAGATGTGCAACACCTCTATGTACAAGTTCTTTACCGGATTTGCGTGACTTCAGGCAATTTAAAAATGGCTTGGTGCCGAATTTTCTGGAGGTCAGAACGGCATTAGCCATCGATATGTATTTACTGCTCGTTCGTCACTTTTGCAGATTCCCGCACTTTCCGTCATTCTCACGCCAATTCCCACATTTCTTTCATGTTTCGCAAGCCTATGAACGCGGCCTTAGGTCGTTTACGACGTTCGTCGTTAAGTATTGAACACATCCATAAACCGTCCATTACTTGACGCGAGCACAATCTACTTTCTTCAAATTTTAATTGGAAAAATGAATTATGAAGCTCTAGATATTCGTGGTCAATCGAAGCACACAAAGAGCAAGCGATTACAAAATGCCACATAGAAAGCGCGGCTGTGTGACGTATACGACAGAATCACGACTGTAGGTAAGCGCAACAAATGGAGGTTCTGCGATTCCTCTCTGCGAGATGCTCCGTAAACCAGAGAACAAAGCTGGCGATGTTACCAAAGAAATAGCGAGACCAAATGGTCGCAAACTAAATGATGAGCAAATGAAACAACAACGGAACATTTTGAAACAACGACCAGTAAAAACCTGACGCGAAACGAGTTTTTGAGAGACACCCATATCTCACTGATCATTCATGTTTAAACGCCTCTCTTGAATGGTAGCCCTGCCTCGCAAGCATGGATCACGTAATACTTTTTTCTGCTAAAAAAATAATATGAGAGAAAGGCGATGCGCTCACCACGCCACCCCCCCCGCTGGCCCCCACAGCAGAAAGCACAACCCATTTCTTTGAGCCTTCTGTAATGGTATTGTTCGCCACGGCGGACGTAAAGGCACGCTGAGAAGGTTCGAAAATAAGAAATAGGTGAATAGTGGTTGGTTTGCGCCCCAACACCAATGGCAGAGATGGTAAACAACCCAAAAAAAGAAGCAGACTCCCTCCCTGAAGATGCCCCACAGAACCGCTTCCAGAACTACACCAAAATATGCCTATGGCGAAGACATTGCGTGGTCGGTCGAATCTATTCTCTAGTTAGCTGAGGACGGTTGGGCGTGTCAGGCAATATTAGTGTGTCACCCCATCAAAACTCTTCTCTGCTTTCTTCTTGAAGCGCGCACGCAACAACCAGTGGTAGAAAACGAGTAAGAACGATGTGATATAGTCTCATAACATGCTCGCTTTAACAACTGGTGGAGAACGGCTTTGGCACTGCGCCAAACTCGTCCAGCCTGACATGTGCAACCCCATCCGCAGCGAACTACACTATAACCAGTTGCTATCAGCTCCTTCACCTTATACTCTGATATCCGACCATTCGTAATGAAGAGAACCGGTAGCGGAACAAGCGCATCACCAAGAAGCTTCAAGGAATGAAAGCGAGTGCAGTCGCGCTTTTCCCCCTTGTTTTTTCGAGCTGCTAAATACATCCTCCATGCCTCTTGACAGGACTATCCTATCCAGATAAGGTGCCTGAACATCAAATTAACGCGAGGCGTGTCTTTGAGAAGAGAATGACAAAATATGCCGAAATGTCATTAATAACAAAGAATTCAAACTGAATGTTGTTATACGTTACGGAAAGCAGAATAAGAACCTTACAAAGTTAAAGTTCCCTTCAAGCGATCATTTAATGCAAGCATAACTAGAAAAGTTGCCCAAAACATTTAACGACGACACTGCTGAACAACGTGAAATTCCATACTGAGGGATCACAGCAATGGGCAGCAGCGCGCTAACCAGAAATGGGCGTGACAAGAGAAAGAAAACATAGCAGAAGTCCTAGGCGTAAAGAGTTTAAACGTAAGATAATCCCGTAGGCTTCCGTAATGCTTGACGGAAAATGTTCAAAAGATTCGCACAACTATTTACAGGAAGCCCTCTCGCACGACAACTCTGGTTCTGCTCAGAGTCTACTGTCTCACAGCATCGGAGAAAACGCGAGAAGGTTTAGATACGCACTATCTCGGTCGACTTCGCCCTGCCCTTCGCCCTTCGTACACTCCATCAGAACAGGTTTACGAGAATTCGCAATTGATCCAGCTCTCCTGATACAACACATCTCTTCCTTTTTGCGCATTTTTCAGTTCTCCTAGCTTGAGCAGAATGTGAACAAAACGACGTCTCATTCACACAGGTGCTTGCAACTCCCTTTCCTTATCACCTCATTGCTCTACGGAACACGTGTTATCGAGTCAAAGTAGTCTAGCGGCAGCGACAAACCCGAAATAAAACATCTTCGCCTTCGATTCCAATGACTTTTGACCTTGAACGTGAACTCCCATATCTACTACGTGAACAAAAACTTGTTGAGATAGCAAAGGGTGTGACAGCTAAAGGGACAAGAGTGACAAAGGCAACATAACTTGCCTAACCCAATGAATGCCCTCCTTTCAAAGGTGCATTTTCGAGACTACATAGAGAAAAGGAATCAAACTAATATCGCTGTTTGCGGTAGCGGTGATTACACGAACCTGGCTATCCTGTCCTTAGCGTATCATGACACATCACACAACTTGTCCCAACATACATACTTGTCAATGGGTATCGTTCCAGAAGTCATGTCTTAATACGTATGGACTGGCAGTGTTAACAGGGCACGCCCTGCCTTCAGGGAAAATTTTTCCAAAATACGACCCCCTTAAAAATCCCTTCTCGGCCCCCGGCGCAGGTGACGACGGGAGGGGGGGCATTTTGCACTTTCGCTACTTCACGTCAACCTATGTAAACAGCCTCTGCTCGATTGACAGGTTTTAACATGATGGTTTGACCATCTTGTTCCAGCTTCATAAGAGGCCTCAGAGTTCACAGGTTTTGCCAGAGTGAGAATGTAGCCGAGAACTAGGAAGCGATGATAGTACAAAATGCCCTCCCACCGTCAAAATTGCGCCCGACTCCCTTCCTCATTCTACCTACCCATGTTTCCGGATGCTGCCCAACTTCCCTAACACCTTCTTTCCAGGTTTTTCTACAGTCTTCCAATTTCCGCCCCAAAACAGCCGCGGCGATGTGTGAGGTGGGCGAAAGGTTGGTAAATAGCGCTGAAACGGGTAAAAACCCATGAAAAGGTCATAACAACCCAAACATACACTTCCTCAGCACCTGAAGAACCGTCCCTCTTCCCAGCGACCGAATACGACTCCCTGTGCCCTGGTTTGTCAAACCCTAACTGCCTTATTTACCTCAACCATCGCTTACACGAAGTGCGACTAGCGCAACCATTAACACAAAACCACTTCCTGAACTTCAAAGTTCTTGTCTCAAAAACTCACAACACGGGCCGCACCTCACCACAAAT